TTCCAGATTTACAAGAAGAATACAAAATTATTCCAGATTTACAAGAGGAATACAAAATTATTCCAGATTTACAAGAGGAATACAAAATTATTCCAGATTTACAAGAAGAATACAAAATTATTCCAGATTTACAAGAGGAATACAAACTTATTCCAGATTTACAAGAGGAATACAAAATTATTCCAGATTCTATTTCAGAATAACAATTGTTACTTTTTCCTTTGACACCTTTAGAAATCTAGGAAGTTTTATCAAATTGAAAAAAAAACCGATCCAAAACGGTTATTCTACAAATATTACAACCAATGAGAAAAAATTACTGCAGTTAAAATACCTTTCTACAAATATTACAACCAATGAGAGAACATTACTGCAGTTAAAAAAACATATTTATTCAGTTTAATTTCTCATGTTGTAAGTTAGAACAAAATATACAGTTAGTCCCGTTTATATCTTTGTTATTTTGCGTCGCTACAATAGTACCTTTCTACAAATATTACAACCAATGAGAGAACATTACTGTAGTTAAAATACCTTTCTACACATATTACAACCAATGAGAGAACATTACTGTAGTGATAGTACCTTTCTACACTATTACAACTAATGAGAGAACATTACTGTAGTGATAATACCTTTCTACAAATATTACAACCAATGAGAGAACATTACTGTACTTAAAATACCTTTCTACAAATATTACAACCAATGAGAGAACATTACTGCAGTTAAAATACCTTTCTACACATATTACAACCAATGAGAGAACATTACTGCAGTTAAATACCTTTCTACACAAATTACAACCAATGAGAGAACATGACTGCAGTTAAATACCTTTCTACAAATATTACAACCAATGAGAGAACATTGCTGCAGTTAAGATGATGAAAGTAGAAGAAGAGAAGACCCATCCAGACAAAAGTAGAAACGTAGCACTGAACAAAATGTAATTAAAAATATATGTAACATGAAGGTGTTTTAAAAAATATTAAGGCATAACAAAAACATGTAATACAACAAAACATGTAATTCAACAAAAACATGTAATACAACAAAACATGTAATGCAACAAAACATGTAATACAACAAAACATTTAATACAACAAAAACATTTAATACAACAAAAACATGTAATACAACAAAACATGTAATTCAACAAAACATGTAATACAACAAAACATGTAATACAACAAAACATGTAATACAACAAAACATAAAATACCTTTCTACAAATATTACAACCAATGAGAGAACATTACTGTAGTTAAATACCTTTCTACAAATATTACAACCAATGAGAAAACATTACTGTAGTTAAATACCTTTCTACAATATTACAACCAATGAGAAAACATTACTGCAGTTAAAATACCTTACTACAATATTACAACCAATGAGAGAACATTACTGCAGTTAAATACCTTTCAACAAATATTACAACCAATGAGAGAACATTACTGCAGTTAAAATACCTTTCTACAAATATTACAATCAATGAGAGAACATTACTGCAGTTAAATACCTTTCTACAAATATTGCAACCAATGAGAGAACATTACTGCAGTTAAATTCCTTTCTACAATATTACAACCAATGAGAGAACATTACTGCAGTTAAGATACCTTTCTACAATATTACAACCAATTAAAGAACATTACTGCATTTAAAATACCTTTCTACAAATATTACAACCAATGAGAAAACATTACTGCAGTTAAATACCTTTCTACAAATATTACAACCAATGAGAGAACATTACTGCAGTTAAATACCTTTCTACAAATATTACAACCAAAGAGAACATTGCTGCAGTTAAAATACCTTTCTACAAATATTACAACCAATGAGAGAACATTACTGCAGTTAAGATGATGAAAGTAGAAGAAGAGAAGACCCATCCAGACAAAAGTAGAAACGTAGCACTGAACAAAATGTAATTAAAAATATATGTAACTTGAAGGTGTNCCTCTACTTTTAAAACATTTCCTCTACTTTTAAAACATTTCCTCTACTTTTAAAACATTTCCTCTACTTTTAAAACATTTCCTCTACTTTTAAAACATTTCCTCTACTTTTAAAACATTTCCTCTACTTTTAAAACATTTCCTCTACTTTTAAAACATTTCCTCTACTTTTAAAACATTTCCTCTACTTTTAAAACATTTCCTCTACTTTTAAAACATTTCCTCTACTTTTAAAACATTTCCTCTACTTTTAAAACATTTCCTCTACTTTTAAAACATTTCCTCTACTTTTAAAACATTTCCTCTACTTTTAAAACATTTCCTCTACTTTTAAAACATTTCCTCTACTTTTAAAACATTTCCTCTACTTTTAAAACATTTCCTCTACTTTTAAAACATTTCCTCTACTTTTAAAACATTTCCTCTACTTTTAAAACATTTTTAATCAATGAAATTGAAAACTCATAAATAATAGATTTACTGAACTTGCTGTGCAAAGAATTAAGAAAAATGGGTTTAAACTTTTCTCAAGTTTTGCACTTCTCCTAAACTATAGAGCTTATAGCTGCACGAATGTGGGCTTCGTATCGGACAAGATTCTTTCAAGGTTTTGTACAATCCCATCTGAAGGTGAAGGGTGTCCCAATAAATATTAAAATCCCATCTACGTTCAGGGTGTCCCAATAAACATTAAAATTCCACCTGAAGGTGCAGGGTGTCCCAATAAACATTAAAATCCCATCTACGTTCAGGGTGTCCCAATAAACATTAAAATCCCACCTGAAGGTGCAGGATGTCCCAATAAACATTAAAATTCCATCAGAAGGTGCAGGTTGTCCCAATAAGCATTAAAATCCCATCTACGTTGCAGGGGTCCCAATAAACATTAAAATCCCACCTGAAGGTGCAGGGTGTCCCAATAAACATTAAAATCCCATAAGAAGGTGAAGGGTGTCCCAATAAACATTAAAATTTCATCTGAAGGTGCAGGGTATGCTAATTTAACATTAAAATCCCATCTGAAGTTGCAAGGTGTCCCAATAAACATTAAAATGAAATTAAATCGTTTTCGTTGCAAAAAAAGAAAGTGAAATTTTGCCACAAACTCAAATTTTCTATCTATGCAACCTGATGGTGTAACCTTTGATATTTCAAATTTAGACGTTTTAATCATCTAACATAATTCAAAGTTTGAAATATCAAGGTTCTACGACATCAAAGTGCAAAAAGATAGGGATTCAAAAACGTTTGTAGCAAAATCTTATTTCCTTTGCTCGCAAATATAATGCACTAAGACCATGGCCAAAACAATAAACTTCATATTTCAGTTTTTGGAGGGATTTTTAAAATGTGTTCTACCTGTTTACACCTCCAAAGATAACGGAGTTATTAAGAATTTGGTCCCAGTTCCAAAATGTTTTTTTTTTAAATATCCCCCATTTCTTCGAGGTTACAAAAACGGTAGATCACATATAACAGAATTTAAAGTCGTTCAACATATATTTTCATACAAACGATTCTCCTTAATTTGTTTTCAAACATGAAAGATGAATTGAATGTTGTCCCTAACTTTCCATGATTATTGAGGGGGGGGGNTAATAATAATAATAATAATAATAATAATAATAATAATAATAATAATAATAATAATAATAATAACAATGAAGATAATGCCTCCCAAACTGATATAATTGACCATAATGTAGCTGATGAAAGAATGCTGCATACATCTATTCTCATCCTTTATAAAAATAAACAAAATACAATATTGTGTCAAATTTGTAAATTTATGTCAAACTCTGAAGATATTTTGACAGAAAAATGATGAATTCAGATCCACAACATTGCAAATGTACCCGGTACAGTATACCGTACTTAAACACGCACCTCTGCCCCTTTAGTAAAAGTAAATTCAACCTATATGAAGCTTAAAGTCTAAACGCGTCAACCATTGCTCCAGCTAAATGAAAGGGGGTATAGGCTATAAAACCTGAGAATCTCAGGAGTTGAACGATACCTATACGACATCTAACTGAGAATTTGACATAAAACTTTGTCAAAATTATACCAAAACGTATATATGTAAGATATACGTCTGTATCACGTGACCGGAACTCGCTCCATGTGATACATGTTCCGGACGCATACAAAATATTATCAATTATATCTATTAAAAATGAAAAATTATCAAATTCAAATAATAATAAAAGCAAACTTGAGTTTCTCAGGCTCCTCTGGGATATCGTTGTCTTCAGATTGGTTGCGTATTTGCTGAATATGATCTGTAATCTTATACAAAATCTTACATATATACGTTTTGGTATAATTTTGACACAGTTTTATATCAATTTCTCGAGACAGGAACATCAGAAAGAACTCTGATATGTCTCAATCAACTTCTCAGGTTTCAGCCTAAACCCCCTTTCATTTTTCCTTTACAGTCCCATTAAAATGATTCTAAGTGACCCTTTCTGCAAAGATGACAATGCCCGACTCACAACGTTACCCTTGAAAGCCATGTCTGATCCAAGTATTAACTATTTATAAATGTTTTTAATTTTATTTCTAATTGTGGTTTCTCTTCCAAAAAAGTGCATTTCTACTTCAGGAAAACATGAAGAAATAATAAGAATTAAACACAATTAAGGTAAGGTCACTAACAACACAACGAATTAAATAATACTTCTTAGTTTTTTTTTTAAAGGGGCCGTTCACTTATTTAGGTAATTTGAGGGTAAACTAAATAGTCTATTAGTTATTCATTGGTATTAGCCATACTTTTCAAAGACAACTGTGACCTGAGAAAAAGCCGATTTATCAGATTCAGATTCAGAATTCCAGCGCAAAGGGATGATACCTTTGTATTCACACTAGTTGATTCTTTTTGTCTAAAGTCATGGATTAATAAAAATTTACAAATATTAAATTAAATTGTAGTATCTAATAGTTAATTGTAAATATCTTTCATTTTTTTCAAAATTATTTTTAAAATTGTCTAATTTCAAAATTTAACTTTAAAAAAATCAAAAGTTTTTATATTTTACTCTATAATGGCTGCTGTTTCGCTACTTAGCGATTTCCCTAAAGACCTAATGAAACTCTATAAGTACCGAGTGGTATTTCTCTGGACAGGATTGTAAGACTTCCTTCTCTCAACGCTCTCCATAACAAAAGGATGATAATAAGGTTCCGAACGTTTATTTCTCTGAGTCTTCAATCTAAATAATCTTTTATAAGCCCACAGAAAAAGCATTGAGTGATAAATCATACAAACACAGCAATAAATCAACTCAGGCATTAAAAAACTGTGGCAAGGAACCAATACATTACATTATAAGATATCAACCATAACCGAACATAAATAAGCAAGATTCATATAAATATAAGCATAATTACCGCAGTGATCCTAGAATTTCACACGGTTTAATAATAGACGATCTTTACATGAAACACAAATATATACTAAGGTAGAATCTGCTCGCTTCCACGCAGAAAACTTGCGCATGCGTAGTCGGTCTGGAAACAGCTTCTAAGACTAGTTTTTTACAATACGTTCTGTACAGATCCTCAGGGAGAACTCAGGGATTCACAGGGGCATCACATAGACTTTATGAACGCAGCATGGCTCGCGTAACAGCTGCAGACATATGATTTCATTGAAATATGATAATTTTAGATTTTATTGGGCTGCTTAAAATACGTTTAAATGGTGTATATGCAAAGGTATAAATGATAAATCGGCTTTTCTCCGGTCATAGATATTTTTGAAAAGTAAGGCAAACACCAATGAATAGCTAATATGCTAATTAGTTTATCATGAAATTACACAAATAAGTGAACGGTCCCTTTAAAAATCTTGTATTTTTTTAAAACAATCGATTTAAAAACAATCGATTTAAAACAATCGATTTAAAAACAATCGATTTAAAACAATCGATTTAAAAACAATCGATTTAAATCAAATCTATTCAAAAACAATTGATTTAAAAA